GGATGGAGGATGGGTTGGGGGTTTAGCAGCGACAACGGTAAACATCAGCAGGCCTCAGGCCTGGTCCGTGTCCTGTGCCCATGAGACGCGCACGAGGCGCATTAGATTAGGCCAACGTCTGCTGGGTGGCTGATGCTTGTTATAGAAAACAAATATCGATTCCATCCCTTAAGTTTGCACCCACAGCGTGGTGGCACTGCCACAGCGTTACCCTCAATGGCTGCCAAACAAAGGAAATGAAAAAAAGCGCTGCAAAAAATATAGAAAGCTAAAAAAAATATAAAAAAAACATCACCCACCCACCGGCAGGCAGGCCAGCAGGCAGCAGGCACGGTCGCACCCCTGATAACGCCAGACGATGCTTGCGAAGGCGCCGGGGAATCTGACTTCGACTGCGACTCAGACTGAGAATTGGGTTGTGGGCACTGGGAACTGGCAAAGTTGACTGCCTCTTCAGCGCCTGCTCACCCGAGCAGCGAGCAACCATTAAAATTTCGAAAATCCATCATTGGAAAAATGGTTGAAAAAACTGTGCGCACAACTTTCGTGGCCATGTTTTTTTTTTGGTTTCTTTTTTTTATATATTTTTGGCAAGTCTGTGGGTAGCTGATTGGGGGACTGCTCGAGACCTTTTGCAAAAATTTCTATTACATTTTTCAATATTCATAAATTTTGTTGCATAAAACGCAGCCAGCAAGTTGGCAACTGATTTGATTTTCTAATTTGCCGCTGCAACCAAAATACTAAAAACGAATTTGAATTTGAATTTTGGCCCTTCTTTATGTGTGTGGGTGTGTGTGTGTGTGTGTGCATGTCTAGGCAGGCAGCCATGAAAACACAAATCCAATCAAATAAACGAAATTAAGTGCACGTTGATTGGAGGCAAATCTGTTTTCAGCCTGAATGATGACAATCAGCTGGAAGACCCAGCTCTGGGACTACGATTCAAACTCCAACTCCAACTCCGACTGAGACAGCGACTCAAATCGAATCAACATCAGACGGCGCTGTCTTTTTTTTTTGGCACAACAACAAAAAATTGATTTCTGCAAGCGTGGCACAAAAATTTCGAATTATTTTTATTTAAATTTTCAAACGGCAGCCACAAAATATGCCACACACAAATTTGCATTAGGCACCTGTAATTTCAGTAGGACCCACAACAGCAACAACAACAACGACAATGGCAATTTCCAGGCCAACAGCATCGTTTATCCTGTGGCCCAAGATTACGAAGCGGCTGCCAAGGCAACGCCAGGAAATTTTGATTGTTATTTGTGGAGACAGTAAAAGCCAAAGCGCTTGCTCCATCGAGGCCCCACACAGGACACAGGATACAGCACGCGGCACACAGAACACGGCCAGTGGCAGTAGCTTTTATTATAATGCGCTCCCATAACTTGCACCAAGGTAGAGACAAGGCCTAGCCACAGAAGCCACTTGGGGGGAAGCAGTGAAAGCGAAAGATTGAAATGTGGAATATTTTTTTAAAAACCAATTTCGTTGAGCCGCCACCGTTCCAACAAACGAGCCGAGTATCTGCCACATTTACCGAGGGGATGGGCCAACTAGGTGGCACAGAAAATGCTTATAAGCGAAATTGTTTTGTCCAGAGTTCTGAGAATTTCTGTTGAAGCTAAGCAACAATAATATCTAAAGATAAATACTAAATAAATGCAAATGCATTTGTGTTTACCCAAATATACGATTATCCAAAATATACAGAATACAAGAAAAATAAGTAGACCTCTTTACCTATCTAACATTTCAATGCAAATTGACAGAAGGAATGAGGCCAAATCGCATATTGTTTTCTAATTCAACACAACACAAACAAAACCAGAGCCGACTTTCAAATGCTGTCATAAGCACTTCATAATTAGCACACCGAAAATTGGCACACTTTTTTCTATGCCCAACCCTCGATGGTCGATAACAAAAGAAAGTGGATTGTGGTGAAAGTGAAATGGCGAAACTAGGCGCAAAAGGGCAACATACAACAAAAGGAATTAGCAAACATGACAATGTAAATGACACAAAAGACAAACAAACACACGAGAGTTGTTAAGGGACTGCGACCCTCAACAGTTCGAGTTGAATTCGAATTTGCGACTTAATTGCTTTGACATTTGACTCGGTTAAATTGGCAAAACTGCAAGAGATCGATAAGCGATTGGATAACACCAATAGAAGAGGGTTGCTGACTGCCAATTTAAGGGAAGGATAAAAACTAATACTCATTATTAGGCATTGGGATTTGCCAAATTGTCGGGGCGTTATTGGAATTGCAAATTGTTTTTTGTGCGTCACTGGATTAAGAACCTGTTGAGCTGCATGGATAATTAACTTATAGGCAATGATATTTGAAATTAGGGAACTACTCACCAAGTAGATGGAAGCAGCTGCAAAAATAGATCGGCTAAAGAGCTGTAAGGCTGTAGGGGTAACAATTATCGTCCAGGGAGTTTCTCACGCGTCTTTTGCTTCACTTGCATAATGCATGAGGCCTGCTGCTCCTGGAAGCTGGCTCTCTTACTGAAAACGTGCCCCGACTTAAGTCTCATCGCCGGCGTGTCCTCAACCTTGGTCTTTGTCAGTGGCATCCAGCAGCAGACTGCGTGACAGGAAGCGAATGTCCTGTTGTGTCACTCATATGCAAATTGGTAGGCTGCCAGACTGCTTTTTTATTTCTCCACCGTCACATCGTATACTGCTGCCTATTAATTAGAATAATAATTAATAAAGAAACTGCTCGAGAACGTTGCACGTGCAGCAAGAGTGAAAATCTTCAACCCTTTAGCATCGTTTCGTGGCTGCATAAATTAGTTGCCTCATTGGCAGCAGCTCAGTTTCTAAGGCTGGGAGGGCAAGTTACCTGCCAAAAGCCAAACCAATTAAATTCCAACAAACAGCAAATGATGCGTACTTAAACACGTCGACGTGATGTGAATACGAAAACCGAATGAGGACCGAAGGTCTTCCCAGAGTGCAACCAAATATGATTTTACTGTTCTTTCGGCTGGACTGGCATTTTAGGGGTAATCGAAAACTCAATTTCAATTTGCATATGATTTCTATTTAATTTACGAAAAAAAAAATATATATATATAAAAAGTCCATATTGAGGGGATGTTGGGTTAGGAATCAAAGTTGTTTTTTTTTCTTGGTCTGGACAGCTGTCGAATGACTGGAAAAGTTTAGCGGCATTTTTGTAGTCATTTATTTGACGTTGTTTTCACCGAATTTCTGCAGCCTTTCCAATGTGCGCACACTTCCTGCATAGACAACAACAATAACTACAACAGAAATAACAAAAGTACCACATCCGCATCCTGTTCAGCTGCCGCCTCAGCGGCTGCTGCATATGCAAATTTTACTCGAAACATTTTCGTTTTGTCTGCAACCTTTTTACGAGTTTTGTTATTTTTTTTCCCCGTTTGATAGAAAGTGAAGCATTTTGTTGTCTCGACAATATGTAACTGACACTTGAAGGGGTGTTCGAGCAACATTTGATGTTGTTGTGATAACCAAACTCGGGATAAAAAAAAAACACAAAAAAAAACATCAACATCATCATAGTCAACGGGCAGCAATCTTTAATGTAAAAACTCCATTAGCAGCATTAGCAGCAAACATTTGAACATAGCTGTAACTGTAGCCCCTAAAAGTTGTCGCGTGCTTGATGATTTACTGAAATTTAAGCCTGATTTATGATCCTCAAAATTCACTGGCAGCCCGCAAAAACAAGTTGCCACTGTCCAAATGTCGTCTAGTACATTAAAAGTGGCCACACACTTTAGAAAAATACGGATAAAATAGCCCCCCGAAAAAAAAGGTAAGAAATAAACCATCAGCAGCAGTATGCGTTTGAGCCAAATTGACATGGGCCATTAGGGTGGCTGAATTTCTTTTTTTTTTCGCTACTTTTTCCTTCGGTTTAGACACGTGGATACCATTGTGGGGTTGCAACGAGCTTTGAATGGGCTACATTGATCAATTTCTATACTGGCAAGACTTACGCATCAATAATATTTCGATAAAACATAGAAAGTCTTGAAGAGTATTTATAAATTAATATGGATCTTTTTAAATAAGAATCCAGTTTCGCTTTCTATTTCTATTTGTCTTTTACAAAACTGATTAGTGTATAAAATATCGCCTTCTATACCTAATTCTAAGTAGAAACTTTGAACTTTTTTCACTGAAAAGTGCGTCAGAACCAAAAAATATGGCGGCGCTTGAGCACTTGTTGTACAGGCTTGAGTATCTGCACCATTGGGAATCGCCTTATCCAGAGGCAATGATGAATAACGGTGCTTAGGCGTCGGACATTTGATTAATGATGCGTTTACCGCCCCAGTGCGGGACAACTTGCGCGCGCACATAATTTTTAACGCCATTTTTTTTAAAAGTAACAAAGTGAAAATAAAAACACACACCGCACACTATTTTTCACAATTTTCCGGGGTTTTTTTATGCTTGGGCATAACTTTATTTTATTAGCACTACGTGGCAATCTGCTGGATTTTTGTGGCATTAAAAGACAATTTTTACAACTTACCAGAGTTCATTTTTTCCCTTACTTGTTCATTTTGTACCCTGCAACCATAAAATGGTGCAAAATGGTATTTTGAAATTCTAGAAATTTTATGAATCTTACACGCATCGCAAAATTAACAACATCATTTTTATCAACGAGGCTAAGACACGTTTATTTATGTCATGACAATTTGTGTGCTCTTAATACATTGGAGCATAGGTAATAGTCTAAGTAGTCTAGTCAAAGCAGATAGTATTGCATTAGCAGGGTATCTCGTAGTTGATTTTTTGTATAGTAACTTTTGGTTTCTTACTATACTTCTTGTACTTTGTAGCAGACGTCGGTCATTTTTTTGTGGCCAATAAAGCGAGCAGTGCGATGTTTATTAAATTCTTGCGGGCAAGTTCATTAGACAAAAAGCTAAAATTAATCAGCGGAGCAGGACCGCCTCACTCCTTAAATCAGCATATACCCACTAATCCTCGTTTGTCATCAGCATCATGCCCATACTGTAAGCGGCCTTTGTCAGTTGCAGCGCGGTGTTCACGTTCAGTGGCATCATGCCGGCCACGGACAGAGATGACGTAGTCTGGGACATGCGCAGCATGAGCAATAGAAAATGCTGCTCTGATATGGGCAGGTCATACCAGCGGCATTCGGTGTAGATGATTGTGACGCAATCATCATTCTGCAGAATATACACAAATCAATTCAGGGATTACCAACTCATTAGATGCACTGAAACATACCGATTTTTCAACAATGGTGCCCAGTCCACAATACAAATACAGAGTCAGAAGCGAGAAGATCAAATAGACGGGAGCCGCGGGCCAATCGCCAGCCAATAAGCAGTACATGCTGCTCAAAACACTGAAAAAGGAGCTCAGTATTTGTGCCGCGATGACGCCAAAGGATATGCGTCTTACACGAAACTGTAAGCTGTAGATATATAGTCAGACTCTAAACAGTGCCCGATATCTTAGTATGATATTTACCTCAGATAATCTTTATGCCAGAGAATAATGTTCACCATAGCCTTGCGCAATTGTGCTCTTGTTGCCTTCTCGGGAGCTTTTCTATCCATAAGTCTATTGAGATGTTTAAACTTGCAAGCCAATATGTCCTTGAGAAGCGGTACACTTCCGACAAAGGTGACAAAATACGCGTCTGCTGCAAAGTTTCCCAGTGCCCCAAAAATTTAGGCATCCAGAATGTACACCGCATAGCAACAAATATCCAATCGTTGTGTTCTTATCCACGAACGGAAGCAGAAACTGCATGATTAAAATTCGCTTGTTGTAGAATGCATAATACACCGCTGGGAATCCCGTACAGCTAACAATGAGTGCCATGTAAACTAATATCAATATTTTAATACTTTTGATAATAGCTCTTATGCCATCGAGCATCACTTTCTTGTAGTCGCCTCCGAGTTTCTCGAAACCCATGTAGGTGGTGTCCAAAAATGTCTGCGATTCTCTAAACAAGTGGGCCCAACGAAAGAAGCAGAACAGTTTTGTGTTGACCAAAATGGCGGCACCCAAAAAGCTGGTTATTTCCAAAATTACGTTGAAGTTTCCTTCAGTAACGACACTTGTATATATCGTGTAAAATGTACCGAGATAAAATAGGAATGTCAAACCAAACATAATGTAGGTCAACTTATTAAATTTAAAGTTCGGTTCCAAAATATCCGCACCGCAATTTTTAGTAATAAGTCTTAGTAAATAAATAACCCGACGATAGGCCACCAGGCAATTCGGTTCGTCTCCCATTTTCTGCACGATATTGCCTTCCGACTAGCTGGAACTTTTGACTAGTAATTGAGAAATTGTCACGAAACCCGCTGTATTTATAGGTGGCAGAACAGGGACATCCATTACATATTGTCACACGCATTTGAATGGGTTCACAACTGAATAACTTATATAGTTTTTTTTTTATTATTGAAATATGTCAAGAGACTGATGGTTTAATGAGTGCACTCTTTAGGGCATGGTTATACTTAAATCGATAATAGATTTTATGATTTTCCTGGGATTTGCCGACTGTTTCAGAAGTCTTTGTCGAATATGCGTGTATCAATTATTCTATTATTAATGTGAGAATATATATTTATGGTTCGATTTCAAGGTAGAAGCAAATAAAAGACGTTTATTTTTATAATGCGAAAAACTCGTTGATTTTGTTTATTTACTTATTGCCAGCTAGAAGAATAAAATATGATGCAAGTCTACGATAAGCAATTATAAATTTGTCTCCTACTCTAGGTATGTGAAAAGCATCATGCTGAAACTGTAAATGCCCTTTGTTAACTGCAATGCAGTTGCCATCGACAGTGGGAGTATACTCATTACAGTTAGAGCCCTTTCTTTCTGTGACTTGGCCACCATGAGGATGACGAGTTTTTGTTCTGTAACCGGCAGTTGATACCACAATAAATTTGAGTATATCGCACCCATAAAATCGTCAAGAACAGCATAGCTGTGGGCCATTCAAAGATAATTTTTACAACTTACAAGAGTTCATTTTTTCCCTTACTTATTCACTTTGTACCCTGCAAAATGGTGTTTTGAACTTCTAGAAATTTTATGAATCTTACACGCATTGCAAAATTAACAACATCATTTTTATCAACGAGGCTAAGACACGTTTATTTATGTCATGACAATTTGTGTGATCTTAATACATTGGAGCACAGGTAATAGTCTACGTAGTCCGGTCAAAGCAGATAGTATTGCATTAGCAGGGTATCTCGTAGTTGATTTTTTGTATAGTAACTTTTGGTTTCTTACTATACTTCTTGTACTTTGTAGCAGACGTCGGTCATTTTTTTGTGGCCAATAAAGTGAGCAGTGCGATGTTTATTAAATTCTTGCGGGCAAGTTCATTAGACAAAAAGCTAAAATTAATCAGCGGAGCAGGACCGCTTCACTCCTTAAATCAGCATATACCCACTAATCCTCGTTTGTCATCAGCATCATGCCCATACTGTAAGCGGCCTTTGTCAGTTGCAGCGCGGTGTTCACGTTCAGTGGCATCATGCCGGCCACGGACAGAGATGACGTAGTCTGGGACATGCGCAGCATGAGCAATAGAAAATGCTGCTCTGATATGGGCAGGTCATACCAGCGGCATTCGGTGTAGATGATTGTGACGCAATCATCATTCTGCAGAATATACACAAATCAATTCAGGGATTACCAACTCATTAGATGCACTGAAACATACCGATTTTTCAACAATGGTGCCTAGTCCACAATACAAATACAGGGTCAGAAGCGAGAAGATCAAATAGACGGGAGCCGCGGGCCAATCGCCAGTCAATAAGCAGTACATGCTGCTCAAAACGCTGAAAAAGGAGCTCAGTATTTGTGCCGCGATGACGCCAAAATATATGCGTCTTACACGAAACTGTAAGCTGGAGATATATAGTTAGACTCTAAACAGTGCCCGATATCTTAGTATGATATTTACCTCAGATACTTTTTATGCCAGAGAATAATGTTCACCATAGCCTTGCGCAATTGTGCTCTTGTTGCCTTCTCGGGAGCTTTTCTATCCATAAGTCTATTGAGATGTTTAAACTTGCAAGCCAATATGTCCTTGAGAAGCGGTACATTTCCGATAAAGGTGAGAAAAAACGCGTCTCCTACAAAGTTTCCCAGTCCCCCAAAATTTAGGCATACAGAATGTACACCGCACAGCAACCAATATCCAATCGTTGTGTTCTTATCCACGAACGGAAGCAGAAACTGCAGGATTAAAATTCGCTTGTTGTAGAATGCATAATACACCGCTGGGAATCCCGTAAAGGTAACAAGGCATGCAATGTAAACTAACATTAATATTGTAATGGTTTTCCTAATAGCTCTTATGCCATCGAGCATCACTTTCTTGTAGTCGCCTCCGAGTTTCTCGAAACCCATGTAGGTGGTGTCCAAAAATGTCTGCGATTCTCTAAACAAGTGGGCCCAACGAATGAAGCAGAACAGTTTTGTGTTGACCAAAATTGCGGCACCCAAAAAGGTGGTTATTTTCAAAATGACGTTGAAGTTTCCTTCAGTAACGACACTTGTATATATCGTGTAAAATGTACCGAGATAAAATAGGAATGTCAAAACAAACATAATGTAGGTCAACTTATTTAATTTATAGTTCGGTTCGATAATATCCGCACCGCAAATTTTAGTAATAAGTCTTAGTAAATAAATAACCCGACGATAGGCCACCAGGCAATTCGGTTCGTCTCCCATTTTCTGCACGATATTGCCTTCCGACTAGCTGGAACTTTTGACTAGTAATTGAGAAATTGTCACGAAACCCGCTGTATTTATAGGTGGCAGAACAGGGACATCCATTACATATTGTCACACGCATTTGAATGGGTTCACAACTGAATAACTTATATAGTTTTTTTTTTATTATTGAAATATGTCAAGAGACTGATGGTTTAATGAGTGCACTCTTTAGGGCATGGTTATACTTAAATCGATAATAGATTTTATGATTTTCCTGGGATTTGCCGACTGTTTCAGAAGTCTTTGTCGAATATGCGTGTATCAATTATTCTATTATTAATGTGAGAATATATATTTATGGTTCGATTTCAAGGTAGAAGCAAATAAAAGACGTTTATTTTTATAATGCGAAAAACTCGTTGATTTTGTTTATTTACTTATTGCCAGCTAGAAGAATAAAATATGATGCAAGTCTACGATAAGCAATTATAAATTTGTCTCCTACTCTAGGTATGTGAAAAGCATCATGCTGAAACTGTAAATGCCCTTTGTTAACTGCAATGCAGTTGCCATCGACAGTGGGAGTATACTCATTACAGTCAGAGCCCTTTCTTTCTGTGACTTGGCCACCATGAGGATGACGAGTTTTTGTTCTAAAATCGTCATTCTAATAAGATAAGCAATTATAGGGCTGATTGATAAATGCATTCATTGTAAACTTACCGAATGTTCAATTTGTGTTCCCAGTCCACAATATGTATAAAGTACTATAACAGAATATATCAAGAACAGCATAGCTGTGGGCCAGACCTTAAGGAAAATACACGAAATGGTGCAGAGAATGTTGATGCAGGACGTCGAAAGCTGCACGAAAAAAATTAAATTGTAGACTTTTTCCGTTTTACGTAGAATTCTAAGAGATGGCAAATAATTAGGATGCTGTTTGATAGTATTAATACAGTTAACTCACCCAGAATACTTCTGATGCCAGGCTAGCAACTCCCAGAACATGTCGCGAATCTGTTCATTCTTATTGCTTTGCACTACCAACTCGTTAAATTCATTTATCTTTACTTTAAATAGATCCGTTAAAAGCGGCAAATTCGCAATATTAATAAATAGAAACATGTCGCAACCAAAGTGACCAAAGGCGCCCATACCCAAAGCTATTACGTGAAGTACTGTCAAAATTTCATGCCCTCTATCTGTATTGTGGTTGATGCCCGGCACCAGAAACTGCATCACAAGCGTCTTCTCATTGTGGACAACATACAGGTATATGGGATAAACGGCCATTGAAATTGCAACAATCAAATATAGCAACATGAAGGCGATCAGCATTCTCCAGGTGTTCTTGACACGCTTTTGCAGACATTTTATATACGCGCCACCCTTTGCCTCGTACTCCTTGTACATTAAATCGTAGGTGACCATCAATTCACGCAGAGACGTCTCATATTCCAATGTACTTTGTATTTTTGCTTGAGCCTGCATCGTGGATCCCGCTATGGAAAATACCCGTAGAATCACCGTCCAGTCGTTATTGTAAACCAACTCCACATATATCGTATACCCGTTGGAGGTGTACATAAAAACAACTAAAGTTATCGTAAAATATGTCATCGCCCAAGTGTGATAGTCAGGATTCCAAACATCGCATCCACAAACGTTCGTACACTTGCGTACGAGCCCTATAATTTTGGAGAACTGACTCGATGCGCTGGCAGCCATTTAAAATATGTTCACACCAATGGTCTGTAGAAGTCTTTGGCAACGACTGAAAACCGTTGCATCAAGCACATTCCTTTTATTGGCAAACTAAACTGATATGAAATGTCAAAATATTGACAACTTAATAGGACAATGAATGGTGTTTAGTAAAATAATCTCACGGGTCAATTAACTTTGTGCTAATTGCCTCAGTTTTAATATATTTAATTGCTTTAAAGTGCAGAGGAACTTGTCATGTCCACAATATGATTTATACCATTTAACGTGGGGGACTTTTGTGCCCACTCAGTTGCCTTATGCATGAGCACATTCGACACCCCAACAAAAAGCTGTACGCAATTGATTTAATATACAATTTTTAATAAAATCTGCTGCCCAAAAAAAAAGGAAATGTAAGCCGAAAGAAAACGACAGAGCAACAAGAATGAAATATCAATTCAACTTTTTCTAAGACGACTGTAAAATACCCTATACATTATAAAAAAAAATTAAACACAAAATAAAATCAACAATTTACTATTGATTGGAAAACCGATTGTTAATTTTTTTCGTTTCTAATCAGATATGTAAAAAGTGAGAAATTAAAATGTATATAGTGTTATTCATTATTTATCTATAGCAAAACCGTATGGCAAAGTCTTAACGCTCCATGCTGTAGCCCTCCAATCTATTTACACAACGCACGAGGCCTCTTCGCATATCCTGCCACTTCCTCCTGCTTCAAAATCTAGCAACCATTTTTATTTTTCGTCCAAGCAGGAAGTGCAAAAGAAAATGTAAAACGCCTAAGCTACGGCCCAACAACTAATAAAGGCTATCAACAACAGTTCAAACAGCAGCATCAACATCAGCAACAGCAACAACAACAACAACAACAGTTTAGTCTTAACAACGTGCAATGGACAATGGAAAACTGGCTCAGGAATACAAACAGCAACAACAACCAAATGATGAAGAAGAAGCAAACTTGCTGGCTGCGCAGCTGAAAATGTTTCTTCATACGCACTCAAGTGTATATTTTCTCATTTTCTTGCATTTAACTAAAAATTTGCTTTGAAGTTTTGACATTTCATAAAGCAGATTTCGTTTCCCGCCCAATGAACTTTTTTTTTATTTATTTATATACATACAACACAAAATGTTCTTCTCTTTTTTTTCTATCGAAAATCCAAGCAAACAAAAGTAAAAGCGACTTCGCAAAAAGAAGAAATTTCAGTTCGAGTCACCCCTGCGGAAGGTGTGGCCTCAGCTACAAAAAGAAAAAAACGACCCTCACCAAATGCCTACCCTGCTTTCACCCCACTCCTGCTCACATGAGCCAAACGCGGCGTATACTTAATATGAAATACACGATGTCGGCGTTGGCTTAAAGTAGCCAAGGCAACGTCGAAGAAGCTGACGCACAAGTTCAGCGTAGGCCTTTGAGGCGGCATTAGCTGCCTCACAAAATTACTGGCTCGTTAGTTGCCAGGTAGCAGTGCAGCGTCGTCGTTGACGTCGACAGCACCAGCGACAGCGACCGAGGTAACTTCCTGTGTTTCTCTCTATCTCTCTCTCCCTCTCTCCCTCTCTCTCTCTCTCTCTCTCTCTTTCTCCCTGTCTATGTGCTTGCTCGCTCGCTCGTACACGCACATGGCTCTGTGTGGTGGTTGCGGGGTAGGGGTGGTCTGAGCCTCAGAGTCAGCCTCAGGACACGCTAATTTCCAGTCACACAATTCCAGTGGAAAGTGCGTATATAGCTGCCGCTGGCCGACAGGAGGCGCCACCATCTACGTGAACTCAGTTTTGCTAATTGCCAACGGTTCTTGCATCTTGTTTCGGCTTGTTTATCTCTAATTATATTTTAATTTGCACACTGTTTCTGTTTGCTTTTTCACTCTCTCTCTCTTTCTCTCACTCTCTTTCTGTGCGCACCGCCCTAAAGTGTTTGCACTTTACGCGCGGCATCCTGGCGCACATTTTAATTGCAATTATGACAGGACGACGCTTGGCCGGTTCTTAAGGCTTGTCCTTGCCGCAAGGCGTTGTGCTTGGCACGTAGCAACATCATCAATGGGCCACTAATTATACCGGCAGTACCTGGCCAGTCGCCACAATAACAAATTTATGCCAAATCTTTCCGATTATTTGGGTTGTAATTACTTCGTGGACTCGAGGAAATTGAGCGAGTGCACAAATTCCGAATTTTAAACAGTATCGTAAAAGACAAATCGTTTTCTGGAACACCTTAAAGACCGAAGCCTTTTTCAAAAATTACTTGTTGGACTACCGGTTTATGCCCAAAGAAACCGCCAAGTCAGGCCATTTCTTGTTGAAATGTTGCCGAAACTGCACACCAAACAATTAGATCGCCAAAAATGTATGGAAAAGGATGGCTTTGCTGAAACCAGTCACGTACGGGGAAGCTCATTTCCTGGCCACGGGTCACAAAGGTGTCAAACGGATACAGCGACGTGCCGTGTATGCACAATGTCCTACACCTGGGGCTAGTGGGCTCTGCCCGGTAATCAAAGAAACCCGAGAAACAGTTCACCAAATTCAAGCACAAGCAAACTTTAAACGTTTCATAATTGTTAAATTGCCGCTGGCCGACATACCCACAGCACAGGACAAAGTGCCACACAATTAAACAGTGCCAGTAAAAACCGCCAAAAGACAAGAAAATAAGAGGAAGAAGAAATATAAGAAAAAGAAAAGAAAAACGCAGGCAACAACGGGAAAAAGCTGCAGGCGAGCGAGCGCTATGTTAATTAATTTGCCAGGACATCCGTGACGTGAGGGAGAGCATTGGTGGGTGGTGTGTACTGTGGGAGGTGGACTGTAGCTGCGTGTTTATTTTATGCCGTCGCGCTTAAGTGGTAAGCCCCATTAACAACTGCCTGTCGTTTGGCAGCAAAATAATGGCGTTAGATCATCGTCGCCTTGGCCAGGACACAAGATGTAGGACGCAGGACGCAGGACGAACGCCCAGCACTGTACGTCATTTGAGCGCTCAAAGCTTTCAGCGTAAATTGTTGAAAATTAAGAAATGTTTCTCCACACTCTCGCACACTCGCACAACCACCCAACTGCTGCAGTCCACGGTCCACGGTCCACGGACCAGTTCAGCTGCCCCCTGGTTCAGGTTCCATCATCGTCATATTTCATGGCTTTTCCGGGTTCTGCTCTGTTGTTTTATGAGCGCCATTTGGATTTGTTGTTGTCCTTGTTGCTGGCGTTGCTATTGCTGCTGCTGTAGTTGCCATTGTTAATGTCCTGGCAACCACAAATGGTGACCAATCTGTGGCCCACCCACCGTCACGACGACCGACAGTTCGGCATTTGGTTTGTCTTTTGCGGTTTCCTTGTGTATTTCTCTTCTGGTTGTTTTTCTTTAATTTAGTCCCTGGCCAAGTGGCTTCCTTGTGGGCGCGCTTACAATAATTAGATGTAACGGATATTGTAATTGGTGTTAAATTGCGTCAGAGGCCGTGTTAATGCTTGTTGTTTATAGGGCTGGGGAGGGGGCGTGGTTACAGCATTTAGTGTGGAAACAGAAGATGTTACGTAATTTTTGTGGGAATTTTGGTTGCGGTTAAAAGCATGCCTTTGTGGTTCCACTTGCGAAGTATTATTATTTACTAATTTATAAACTCGATAATTGTGCAATTATTGCATCAGTTTCTAGTTATTCTTAACACAATTATTTAAACACAATTTGATATCTAATCATCTTGTGAAACTTCTCAGCACTCTTATAAGTTCCAAATTTCTCAGAACTTTACGCATTGACATGTAGGTACAAACTAAATGAGGACTGTTTACCGATCACCGGCAATGTTACCTGACTGCTGTTTGTCTCTCAGCGAAGGAAACTCTCTGACTCGATTCTCAGCATTCCCATGGCTATTCTCATTGCAATTAGCATGACAGTGTGTGAGACAAGTTCAGGATACGAGGTAATATTGCGCGACAGGGGTTAAAGCTAAGGCACAAACAAGTTCTGATGGGCATACAAAAGAGGTTTGAACCTTATGACAGGATAGTTTGAATTTGAATATGAAGACCCAACGGTGCTAGAAATTAAGGTTCAAATGCGGAGCGCGTGTGAAACGGTTTACGAACTACGAGTTATTCAATTCAATTTAAAACATCTACGCTCTTTCTGTATGTAGTTATCCCGAAGGAACTAACTTGCCAGGCAGGCCGCATTGCATAAATCACTGTGCAGCATTTGCATAAGTTGGCAGCCCACAGCGAAATCGGCGCAAACACATTTTAATGGCCATTTCGCTTGCGTTAGCTGCACCGCACACCCTCTTCAAAAGTTTTGTCTCTAACTCTCTAATCAAATTAGCAACAGTTAACCGGATGTGCAAAAATCTGCCACCACTTTCACCTTTGTGCTCGTCTGTGTGTTTCTCATTGTTTGTTGTGTTTATTTTGGGCTGGAATTTTTATTGTGGTGTGGTGCATTTATTTTGATTTGATTGTTCGCACATCAGCGGGTTGCCGCAGTCCCAGCACCAGCCTCCGGCTCCGGCTCTGGATCTGGCTGTGGCTCCGGCTTCTAAAAGACCCGCCCAGTATCGCGTTTGCTTGCAAATTTTGTGCATTCGCATTTGCATTTGAATGTGGCTCGCGTGCGAGGCATGAATCATTCATCGTTGTTGCTGTTCATGATGATTCAAGTATCGATTTGCATTGATTTGCATTTCAATTGCACTTTTTCGACACTTTACAATGGATTATTTTGCAGTTGCATAAACTTGAACCGAGCCAAACCGATGCGCGATGTGATGTGATTTATTTATGGGGCTGCATTACATTTCAAGTGATTCGACCGCTTCTCAATTGCTGCTGCTGCTGCTGCTGCTGTTGATGTTGCTGCTGCAGATAATGAGGCTTTGTTTCTAATTATTCGCGTCTAATGATAGCCCTTGAGTTGAGTATTGACATATGCACATAATATGTACTCATAGAATTAAACACGCTGGTGCATTTCAATTGCGCTTTCAAGCTGTCCATATGACAAGCCCCAGCTGCATTTGAAATCTACATATGGCACTCGCATGGGTAACGAATACATTTTTCATAAATGCATTTTTTGCGTTGCCACAATATTTCATTGAAATAAATCATTGCGAAATTATTAAACAATATACAGACGGAATTTTATCGAAGGTGCAGCAGCATCCGTCTTTTTTTATGCGGCTGTTTGACTTATAGGTTTGAAGTATTTTCATTATTTATTTTTTAAACATTTTGGAAAACATTTTCAAAATTACAACAAACATGCTGAAAGCCAGCGCATATAGAACGCAGTAAAGCCGTTAGATATTGGCTATGCAAATTGTATTTATTCTTTTCCTCTCGGTTTTATTGGTACCGAGAGCTGTGCCCGCATTTTTTGCCTGATCAGCAATGCGATTTATGGCATGTTGTGAGAATATGCTTGACATTCGATGTGCTCAGTTCTACTGGCCAATATAAAAGTAACATTTTTCATTGGCTATGCTTCACTTTACTTGTGCGATAACAATGTGAGTCGATAGAATACTTTTGACATACTCAAATATCGTTATTGTTTCTAGCAATTATTCACAAAAAGCACATCTGTAACTTTTCTGTAGAAACTTTGTGAACATTTGGAAGAATGGACAAACGAAAGAAAAGTAAAATCATCGATGCAAAACGACCACATTCACAAGATGAACAACTTACTACCAAAATGTCAAAATTACAGAAAAATGCGATGAGCGATGAAGACACAGATAGTTCCGAATTTTCTGAGTCTGAAAATACTTCCGAACTGGATGAATTATCAGAGGAATCTGAGAAGGTATTTCCCCTAAACAAGCAGATAGAATCAACAACAATATGTAAGCCGGCTAGTAACTCTGCAGCATATATAAAAAATCAATCAACTTGTAAACAAAAAAAGTTCACAGAATGTTTTTATGATAGCGACAGTAGTGATGATAGCGATGATGGTACGGATGACAGCGATGATGCTGAATACAGCAGTGATACTGATGATAGTGATACTGCTACTGATTATAGCACTGATGATAACGATGATTGTGACGATATTGCCAAAATATCAAGTTCAATTGAAAAAGTAGCCAATTACTTGAAGAAGAAAGATAAATTCCAAAATGCAATGATCGCATTCTTGACAAAAATGTCGAGTCAATGCACCGATATAGAAAGGAGGTATATTAGATCTCGCAATCGTGTAATTCGTTCATCTATCTCTGATACTAACATTACCATTACTACTTCTACCGCTACTACTACAACTTCTACGAATACCACAGATTCAGTTAGTCGACGCAAGGCTCTGACAACTAAAAATGACATTAACAAAGTTGCGGAATTTTACGAGGATGATAGCACATCCAAAGATGATATGTTAAGTTCAGAAGATGAAAGAGGAGAAGCCACTTATGAGTCAGACCAGCATATTGTGAATTACCTTAATGAATATGAGGAGCTCTTTCATGAGATTCGCAAGATTATTCCTAAAGTACCCAATCGCTTCAAGTATGAAATATACAGCCTTCTGTTCCCGACACTGACAATTGTCTATTTTCGAATGGTTATCAGCGGTAAATTCCGTAAGGGCCGAGCATTCGTGGAGAGTTCTCGGCGTTACTTTGACCATTCCTACACTGCCCGTGTGGACAAGCTCTTGGGAATGCAGGACCCACGAGATATTCCACATAAAGCTAGAAAGTTGGTTACTGACGATAAGGAAAAGGTTCGATTTTCCATGTTCAAGGAAACGTACTATTTGTTGGAGATCCACAGGAATTTTTGGAGGCTTCCCATTCAGATGATGTTTTCAAAACATTTTGAACCATTTCCTGATAATAAAAACGATGCGCCTCGACAGCATACTCGCATCGGCTCTCCTTTATTGGAAAAGATTTACTGGGCTACACCCAAAACACTCTATGAAACCAATGAGAACAGTCCGATAAAGGGGAGACGCAAGCGCGCTAAAAAGAACCAAGCTTCGCCGACCAAAAGTGTCAATTTGCCAACAGTCAATCGTCTCTATACTCCAACTGCAAAGCGTTGGGACATGGAACGAATTAAGGAGGAGGATGATCATCGTGCGTCGCTTAACCGCGACAATCTGCCATCGGTCTACCTTTATACGGCGCATGAAAATGTTGAGATTGTTACATGTGCCGCCTTCTCGAGCAAAACCACAATGCTTGGTATTGGCACCGAAGATTCCGCAGTTCACGTCTTCTCGCTGACATCCTCCAAGCTAGTGCAGCTCAAGTCAGCCACATACCTCAAGCAGCTGGACACCAGCATGTCCGGCATAGACGAGAGCATGTTGGACGCGACCAAGAGGAAGATGAGACGCTCACTCTATGGTCATCGAGGTGCCGTCTACGGATGCTCGTTTGCACCGCATGATCGATTTCTGCTCAGCTGCTCTCAGGATCGCACTGTGCGCTGCTGGTGCCTGCTCTCCTGGAGCTGTGTGGTCATCTATCCGGGACACTGTGGGGCCATCTACAACGTGACATATGCCCCTTTGGGTTATTACTTTGCCACCACTTCGGATGATCGCACGGCACGCATTTGGGTGCAGGACTCCAAGAAATGTGTCTCTATTCTCGGCGGCCATCTGGCTGAGGTTGGCTGCTGTCAATTCCATCCAAACAGACATTATCTGGCCACTGGCTCGGCTGACTGCACGGTGCGCATATGGGACATCGTCAAAGCGCTTCAGGTGCGCATTTTCACTGGTCACAAAGATGGCATTAGAGCTTTAGCCTATTCGATGTGTGGACGCTACTTGGTGTCGGGATCTGATGATCACTACGTGATTGTTTGGGACACTGACAAAGAGCAGTTGGTCCGTTGTCTGTCTCATCACACCGGTCCAATTAACTGCATTGAGTTTGAGCTGGACAACAAGCTATTTACAGTGGGCGGCCAAGACTGCCAGATGACCATTTGGGATTTCGAGGGAATAACTCAGGAATACGTTGATCCTAAACCAAAGGAAGTTCAAGCCAATAGTCAGGAGAGTGATGCAGAACACACTCCATCCGAGCTGAGCAGTGAGGATTTTATGATAATGGCATATCCCAGTAACGGTACTCCATTCTATACACTACGCATTACAAGCCGAAACTTGCTGCTTGGACTCTGTGTCCGGCCAAAGAAGGATGATAGACTGATTGAGTCGGACACAAACGTTGAGCGAACAGAATGGCTCAAGCACTTAGATATACTAATGGTGAGGGCGTGCTATGCTCCAGAAAACAGAGAAATATTGCGTGGATTAGAGAGTTCATCGGATGAAAACGAATCAAATGAAGAGACGAACCACTGCTCATCTATGTCCGGTGTTGAGTCTGTGAACGATGATGCAGATGATTGCGATGTTGTCTCCTTGCAGGATGATGATGTTCAAACAAAGGATTCTGATGCATCGCAATCAAATAAAAAGAATAAACTGGGCTCAAAATTAGTTGAACTGCTTGAATCTTAATGTGACCGAAATAAAATACAGAAGAAGAAGAGAAAACTCATATTGTTAACCCCATTTTAAATAATGCAGATTTTGTATCAAAACAAGAAGAAAAAAAAGAATATTAAAGTAAATAATTCATGTAGCATAAACGCTGCGTGACTAACCCCAGAGGAACAGCAGCAGTAACAATTTGACAGTTTCAAAAACTGGTCAGGCCACGTGAACCGCCCATCGCCTGCCCACCAACCGCCCCCATGCGCCCAGCCACAAAAGGCGTGCAAAATTTATAGACGCACGCATTAAAAGCCGCCAGGCACGCTCGACTAACTGCGTCGCACTCGTCCACGTCGTCTTGTTCCTGGATAGTGTCCTCTTTACGGGTAACTCGCTGCACCCCCACAGTACATCCTCCCCCTTACACCGAAAAGCGACAGGATAATATATTTACGCAACTTCTTATGATTTTGTTGTGGTTGTTGTTGTTGCTGTTGTTGTTCTTGTTGTTATTGCTACTGCTGGATCCACATAAAATAAAATATAAAAATAAAAAAATAAACGAACTCAAGTGCTGTCCTTGGTGTCCTCGTCCTGGCTGCTGTTGTCATTGTTCTTGTTCTTGTTCTTGTTCTTGCTGCTGCTATATTTGTTGTTGTTATTGCAGGCAGCATCTTGTGCCTCGTTTGTAGCAGTTATCTTTTGGTCCTGCTGAGCTGGTCGCGCGAAATGAAATTGTTTACTCCACTGTCATGTGCACGTGAGACGTGGACTGAACGCCGTGTCCTGGCTGCTCCTTCCGGCCCTTTAGCCCCGCTGCTATCACAAAACGAAAAATCTCTTCTTTTTTTCGCCAACCAAAAAAAAAAACAACAAAAAATGAAAGAAAATTCAACGTAATAATTCTTTTCCGCTCGGATAAGGTGCGATAGGAGTGAGAATGAGTGCAGAGTATGGGCAGGGGGCGTGTTGGTGGGTTGCTGGGGTTGCCAGGGCTTTCGCCTCGTAATTGTGCGCAATTTTTGTGGCGCTTGTGCTGCCCATTTGCCCGCAGTTACAACATCTTCTATTCGGCATTTTTCTTTCCGTTTTCCTTAGCTATTTTCTTCTCTGTGTTTTTATGCGCGTTTCTCTACTGACTGGCAATTCAGCTACTTCCCTCTTGCTCACATTCTCTGGTGACTGTGGCCAATTGTGTGCTGCTATGTTTCGCCATTTTGGTCCACACACACATGTGATTCATACACACACCACCCACATGAGCAACGGTTGTACCCGGTCCTAAGCCTCAGCCATTATTCATGGGGCTTATTAGGGGACAGCGCGTAAAACTGTCGCAGCAAACAAAATAAACAGCACAGTCCATTTAACCGATTTCATGGGGTACAAAAGCAGAGCATAAAATAAATATTTATAAAGAAAACAATGTCCTGTCGTGGGGGCGTGCGTTCTGCTGATGATGAGCAAACAACTTGAAGCGCAACCATTTTAATTTACAATTGTCGCAGGCTGTACTTTTGCTTGTCCTTGTCCTCCTACATACCATACATACCATTCCAGAGCCCGTCTCCTGTGGCGCACCATCCTGCACTTGACAGCCACTCACCAGTGCTCAGTTCTCAGTTCTCAGCTCTCAGTTCCAGTTCCAACCAAACCATGGGCACCCCAAATAAGACCTTTTCCAAGTTGTTTTCTACCAGCAGCATTTGGCAGCGCAATGCACCCCAAAACGTACTAAACTTAAACCGCATATTAGCAGGCCATAAATGCAGGATGTGTTTTTGGACTCGGTACTTAAATATGATAAATGCGCGTATTGTATTACATTTGGATTTAGGGCAGTGCCAAAGACAATAAATTAGCCGGGACACACACCGATAATTGCACACATGCTGCGCCTGCGCTTATTCAATGCATTTTACCAAAAAAACAAAAAAAAAGCTATGAAGATAAACTGCCTGCACTGGAACTTAAATACGCTTGGAAACACACTCAAGTATATAGATGGTATATGCACATAGTTGTATATTATATCGGACTAACGATTGGTAACAGAACTATAAAAAAATAATAAAATTTATAATTTTAAATTATATATATTCTATATATTTCCACTGCCTTGTACCTTGCAGAATTGAAAAACTATTGTACCCTTTGTGCCAGTGTATAAAATGCAACCCGTAATTAGTTATGGAAGCAGACAACATGCATACCTCCCAGCCCGTTCTTCAGTTGGCTGCCCAGCTTGGTGTCGTCAATGCAACGTTTGCCAAATTTACACAAATTCCATTTGCCTCGGCCGACAGCCGACTACCGACTACCGGAGTTAAGTTTGGGCACTGGCTGCTTTATGAAGATTGGCCCGAAACGTGTTTGCGGACTGGCCAATAACGAGTTGTGGGCAAACTTCGTATTCTTCCTCCACATTGCCTGGGTCGATTATTATGGGCAACGGTGCGCTGCAATTATGTCGTCCAATTAATATCAACACAGCGGGCGTCGTCTGATCATGGTGTGTGGGGAACGTGCGGAGAGGGGATAGAGTGGGGGTTTAGTATTTTATGCTATTTTTAAAATTTATTGTCTCTGATGGTATACCATGGGGCCAGGACCACCCGTTGGCCCGTTGGCTGCTTGCTCTTTGCGATCGCTGAACTTATGCAAAATAGTTTCGATCGATTCGGCGATTAGAGGTAAAGAACAAAAATCAAAGAGAAATGATAAGCAAGCGTCTGGATCGGTAGGGCCAGACATCAATCAAGCTGTCAATATGGCAATATATGACCAGTGCAAGGTGTCTGCATAATTGCAATGCCCAAAGTTGATGTTTATTATAATATCCACACATCAGACGCGAGTGCAACTTGAAAACTGAAAACTGCACACTGTTCAGCGTGTTGATCATTATTTTTTGCATGTAACTCAAAGTCATTACATTGATAGACTTTGCGCAAGCGACAGCTGCAGCCGATACAACGTGACCAGCCGCAGGCCGACAGGACGAAGAGCAGGACTTGGTACAGGACAGAGTAGTTCATACTGCGTACCCTTTAATTAACAATTAAGTTGCAATTTTATGAGCAATTCAAATTCGCCTTTTAATCCCGCTGCGAATGGGACGGAACAGTTAATGGTCTCTCCTAGTCGCAAGTTGAATAAATTATCATTTCTCACACGTGCGTGTATGCGTGTAGCATATTAAAGGATAGCCGGAAAATCTTCCATTGTGGCTAGTTCAGGCTGCAGTTGCAGCTGCCACACTTGGTCACAGATCCGAACTCACTGATAAAGAAGTCCAGCATAACTAGGGATTGTGGCTTTTAGCCGATGCCACTTATCGCATAAGCTTGCCTTAATTCAATTTGTGGCGAATTTGCGTTGGGACCAGAGTTGCGAGGTCATTATTTTGCATGTCCCATTTTATTTTATTAATATGTTAAGGGCCACATTGTAATTTATACTTTAGTCATGTTTATAAACCTACCTTAGGGTTGGCAACACGACGCGATGCTCTGATGGATTACAAACAAATTGGCGCGCTACACATAAATTTTTATGCAATTTTAATGAAATAAATGATCTGACATACTGGCGACAATATGAAGGGCTAAAACTGCTCGAACCAGTTAAGGACTACCGCAAGATATTTCCCAACAAGTTCGATGAAAGCGCACAATATTTTGTGCAGAGATCATAAACGTTATCCAAAAGGTGATGAAAGTACAAATGCACGCTACATTTTAGGGGAGAAAGACCCTCAAAATGTTCGTAATAATCGAATATACTCCAGCCTGGCCACCCTTTGACTTAACGTGCAGAGCAGAAACGCCTTAAGGTGTGCCTAACATTATCCCAGCTTTCACTATGAATTATATTTATATGTAAATATAAATTTATACATATTTATATATGCGTATGGCTATTTCCGCATCAGCATTCTAAGCATGGCTCCCCATGATAATTAGGCATCGGTATACAATTTGAAAATGCATACAATATTAATAATATTATTTTTCGTCGAAAAACATGCCCGCAGCGACATGAGAATGCGAATGCAATTGGCCAACTTTGAGCCCAGTTGCCATTGTTTATGGCTCTGACACACGCACTACTTAGCTACGTACAGGTAGAATATTCCCTCCACCTCCACCCCCTGCTCCTGCCCCTGCCCCACTGCTCATTCAGATAGTCAATGCCGATAACTGGCTTAGGTAGTTCAGCTTGTGTCTAGTTGGGCACATTGTACTTAAATGGTTCGTTGTGCTGGGCAGAGTCACAAGTAAACAATGTTTCCTGCATGCAACTGCTGGCTGCGTCAGTGGCAAGTTGAACTGGGGTAATGCCTAATTATGGGGCGGGCGTTATCGCTGGCAAATCGGCCATCAAATATGCAGCGCAACGCGTGCATAGATAAGAACCAACATAAATTCGCAAAAGTTATACGAGCTGCAATCATGAAAAGCAACTTGTTCTCTCTCACATAATAACCCCACGTCAGCAATTAACACATTGTGCTCCTTCGATAAATTGAATTTTCTATATGACATTGGCTCAAAACTCAACATGTGGTGGATAGAGCAACGGCCTCTCACCTGTCTCCGTCTCCATAGCAGCCTCTCTCTCTCTCTCTCTCTTTCCCAATTGTCGTGCAACAACAACAAAATCGATATGAGTTGCATGCAATGCGAGGCTGCTGCTGTCGCTGCTGCTGCTCTTAGCCACGGCCTCTGATAGCATGACGACATGGCAGGGCGCACAGGAAGCTGAAGCTGAAACTGAAACTGAAGCTGAAGCTAAAACTGATGCTGATGCCGAGCATGGGCAAGCGACAAGCGACGGTAACATGCGCCCGGCATTATAATGCCAGACGCGACACAGACCGACCCCACACACACACACACACACGCACTCGCACACACACACACACACACACAAACATACGTAGACAGGGAAACTGCTGGAACGAACTGCTGACTGGCAACGTTAAAACCGGTAAATCTTCATAGAGTTTGCTACGTAAGTTGCTCTGCGCTGCTCGAATACTCTAACAGAGTCCATCAGCATCATGATATTCTTAAACAGAAT